TAATAACTACCTCACAATTTGGTTGTAAATAATAAATGCAATTATATATGTATGGTGCTTAATGATAATAGCATTTATATAACATGTGCTATGTGCCAGTCACCAGTCTCAGCACTTGACTTGTATTTATTTAACTTAGTATAGTCTTCACAACAACTTTATGAAATAGGTACTATTATTTTCCTCATTTTGCTGATGAGGAAGTTCAGATTCAGAGAAATTAAGTAACTTGCCCAAGGTCACACAGCTAGAAGGTGGTAGAGCCGGATTCAGACCCATGCAGTCTGATTCCAAGGGCTGTGCTTGTAGCCATTAAGGGATATCTGCTCCTGAGTAAATGTTCAATACCCAGTACTTGTAGTTACATTAAGTGAATAATCATCCCTTTGAATGTTAAATCATTTTATTTGTTTCCATTTTAAGAGAACTTTATTCAAAAAGCTAAATCAAATATAGCTCTTTACACTCCAGGAAGCCGTGAGTCAGTAACAATATACCCCACTCTCCAAGCCTTCAGGCCTTGGCCATATGATATCTGCTTCTCTAAGCATCCTTCTCCTCCCACTTTCTTCACCTGTTTTCCTGCTCAGCTGTCAAATCTACCATGGAAATACCAATCACACTGACACAGCTCAGTACTTGTGAGTGTCTTCAAAGAGGGCTACCTTTTTCTCGGGCGATATCTTCTAGCATCTGGTGCAGGACCACCCAAAGTGTGTGCTCAATACATATCGAACGAAGAAAAGTACAGATAAATATGAGATATGTGTTCAAGAAGAGATGGAAAATTTCAACAAGATGGTGAGATTTCCAATATACTGTGATCGCTCAAGGTCGTCAGGAGTTCAAAACCAATATACTGTGATTATCTTTTTATGCAACAGTGAGATTGGAAAAAATACATAATATGGTATTTTTCAGTAAGAATGCTCGGATATTTTATATTAGAAGTACATTTTGACTTAAAAATATCTGCAGGACATTATATATAGTATGTTCTAAAACCCAAAAGACACTCTTTACCCAGTAAACACATCTCACTCCTCTTGTGATTTTTGATACGCATTTCTCAGCTTCTATGTTCATAGAATTATTCAATTTCATTTACATCAGCTGTATATTTCTATTATAACAATGATTTTTGTTATTAAAACATAATTGTTAGCTAAAACTAAATTAAATCTGAGCCAAATCATTTTTATATAATTTTTTTTTTTTGGCACAGTGATCCCAGGAGACATTTTTATATAATTTTATGAAAACATTCTTATTTATAGGTTATATAGGTTGAGTGTCCCTTATCCAAATGCTTGAGACCAGAAGTGTTTTGGATTTAAGAATTTTTTTGGATTTTGGAATATTTATATATACATAAGGAGATATCTTGGGGATGGGACCCAACTCTGAACACAAAATTTACGTATGCTTTATATACACATTATACACATAGCCTAAAGATAATTTTATACAATATCTTTAATGATTTTGAGCATCAAAAAATGTTTGTATTAACTACTTATAGTGGAATTTTCCACTTTTTGTGTTGGTGCCCAAAAATTTTTGGATCTTGGAGCATTTTCAGATTTCAAATTTTCAAATTAGGCATGCTCAATCTGTAACTGACACATGGCTTCCTAGTATGTAAAGAGGGGCTACAAGAAACAGATGGGCATGGGGCATGGAATGCCTCAGATATAATGCCCTGAAGTTTAGATTTAAGGATTTTAAACATGAGAATATGTAAACATGATCAGATGTATATTTTAGAACTTTTCCTGGAAGAAATGTGGAAACTGAATGGGATTTAAGAAATCTGGAGTAGGCAGGGCGCAGTGGCTCACGCCTATGATCCTAGCACTCTGGGAGGCCGAGGCGGGAGGATTGCTCGAGGTCAGGAGTTCCAAACCAGCCTGAGTAAGAGCGAGAACCCATCTCTACTAAAAATAGAAAGAAATTAATTGGCCAACTAAAAATACATAGAAAAAAAAAATTAGCCAGGCACAGTGGCACATGCCTATAGTCCCAGCTACTCAGGAGGCTGAGCAGAAGGATTGCTTGAGCCCAGGAGTTTGAGGTTGCTGTGAACTAGGCTGACGCCATGGTACTATGTTGCTGGGCAACAGAGTGAGACTCTGCCTCAAAAAAAAAAGAAAGAAAGAAAGAAAGAAATCTGGAGTAGTTAAGTGAAATAAGTCAGGCACAGAAAGATAAATATCACATGTTCTTACTTACATGTTGGAGCCAAAAACTAGAGCTCATAGAAGTAAAGAAAGGATTTTTTTTTTTTTTAAGAGATAGGGTCTCACTCTGTTGCTCAGGCTGGAATTTGCTCAGGCTGGAATACAGTGGCAGGATCATAGTTCACTGCAGCCTTGAACTTCTGGGCTCAAGTGATCCTCCCACCTTGGCCTTCCAAAGTGCTGGGATTACAGGCATGAGACACCATACCCAGCCTAGAAGGGAGGATAACCCTATCCCTAACCCTCAACACAAAGAACCAAATGTTTGAGGTGATGGCTATGCTAATTACCTTGATTTGATCATTATACATTGTATACATGTATTAATGTATCACTCCATATCCCATAAATATGCATAAGTATTATGTGTCAACTAAAAATAAAGGGAACAAAAAAACTCTCCTTAAAAGAAAGAAAAAAGAAATTTGGGAGCAAAGAAATAATTCAGGAGGCTAACTGCTATTGCTATGACAGGAAAATATAAAGGTCTGAACAAAGGAAGTGACAGTGGAAATTGAGAGGAAGGAAAAGGATCAAAGAGTACTAACCGTGGCCTAGAACCCAGTTCTTCCTATGTTCCAAACAAAAACCTGTTCTTCACATTTTTCTATATCTGATATTAATATTTCAGAAGCAATAAGCTGAAACTAATATTTATTGTGTTATTACTCTGTGCCAGGCACTGTAGTAGTGCTTATATGCTTCACCTAATTTAATTTTCACAAAATTTTTATAGGAACTATTGCTTTTTTTTTAGCGTATTATGGGGGTACAAGTGTTAAGGTTACATATATTGCCCATGCCCCCCTCCCCCCTCAAGTAAGAGCTTCAAGTGTGTCCATCCCCCAAATGGGAACTATTGCTTCATAGTAAGGAACCTGGGGCATAGAGTGTTAAAGCCACTGGCCCAAGGCCACACAGCTGGTCAGCAGCAGAGACAAGATCCAAACCCACGCTGACACTCTCGTGCCTCACCCAGCCACCGCCAACTGCTTCCCGTTCTTCTAGTTCTCACTCTCCTTGACTCCTGGCCTTTTAATCTGAATCGGTCCTCCTGTCCTATCTTAAAAGAAAAACGTATTTGCCCTCTAATTTTTCCAACTATCCGGTCTGTTTCTTTCCATGTCATGTTGGTCTGGAGTCCACGGCAATCTCCATCTTCTCACCAGCCATTTTCTCCTTTCACGTCAGCTGTTTGGTTTCTGTGCCTTCCAAATATACCCATCCTAATTATTGTCCCGGTAGACTCAAGGTATTCCTCCACCCTTACTTCCCTTGTACTCACGAGAGTACCACACACTATCAACAGCTCCTTTCTTCTTGAAACCATTTCTCCGCACACGAGCAGCAGCACTCTGCTCCCCCAGCACACTCCCGTGTCCTGCCAGCAGCTCTTTTCTGTCTCGCTTGCCAGTTCCTTCCTGATGAAGGAACTGTTCCTTTTGTTCATGCCATTAGAGGAGCTGGGGTTTTGTTTGTTCCCTTTTCTTCTTTTCTTTTCTTTTCTTTTCTTTTCTTTTCTTTTCTTTTCTTTTCTTTTCTTTTCTTTTCTTTTCTTTCTTTCTTCCTTCCTTTCTTTCTCTCTCTCTCTTTCTTTCGTGTGTGTCCCCGCTGTTCTCTTTCAATATGATACCTCAATTTACTCTTCACAACACAATTTTAATGATCGTGACAAAGAGTATAAATGCCTATCTTCCTAGCTTAATTTCTCAACATTTTTTTTTTCAAGACTTAATTTCAAATCCACTTTAAAGGCTTTGCTCGGTGGCTCACCAGCAACACGCGTGTTCCGCAGCCTTCCCACACACCCTTTCTTTGCTGAGCCGGTCGCCTGCCCGGCTCTCCTTCTGCAAGCAGGCAGGGAAGATGTGCAAAGGACCCATTCTGCTGTTAGTCTCGGTCTTTTGCCCGACTCCCATTTCCCCTCAAGTGCTTAGATTTCTTTGTTGAAGAAAATAAATTTAGATTTCCTTCAGAGCTAAGAAAAAAAAAAGAGTAAAAAAAAAAAGAAAAAAAAAAAGAAAATAAATGCCAGCTAATTGAGCTCACAGAATTGAAATTGAAGCCTGCAGCTGATACAGTGAGAAAAAGAGGCTAGGTCAGCGGGAGCGCCCTAGCTGAACGCCTGTCAGCACACAGCCAGCACCCCAGTTCCTGGAGGGCGAGGAGCCTCTGTCCCAGACTCCGCTCCAAGCCTCCAAAGCTGGCGTGACTCAACGGGTAAGCATTCCGTTGAAGCAACACGTTGCCAAGCGGCCAGCGACTCTGCAAGTCCTGTGCGAGTAGATGATGACAGTTCGCGCGGGGGCAGGCTCAAGTTGACACACAATTGACAGTGATCAGAAACACCAGTGCCACAGGGATTCTTAAAGCCCCAGCCTTGAAACGACACGTAGGATTCAGGGCTTTTGAGTCAGAGCGCGGTGCACTCCTCATCTCCACCATCGGCGCGAGTGGTCACAAAGGCGACCAAGTGAAAAACGGTGGTGTTAACCACCTCCGCTCCCCGCCGCCACACCGCTGGTCACCAGATGGGACCTCACACAAAACTCTGGAGACCAAAGAGCAACAGCCCTAAATAATTTTTCTTCTCGGGGAGGGTGGGGTGGGGGCGGGCAGGAGGAGGTGTCCAAGCCCCCAAGCTGCTTGCCTGTGCCCTGCCTTCCTTCCCCAGGCTTTGTCTTTAGGACACTGAAGGACACTCCTTTCTGGAAACCCACCGCCGGCCCTTCCTCCGTGGGCTCGCCGCCCGCCGCAGCCAGAGGCCGAGGGGCGGCTCCGGCCCGGCCCGGGCTGCCCTGCCAGGTCCAGGGCGAGGAGCGCGGAGCCGGCGGCCCAGGGCGCTCAGGGCAGGTGGCACAGTGGCGGTTCCCGGCGCTGGCTGGCAGTCTGCTCCCCGCCCACTGGCAGGAGGGCGCCGGCAGGGCTGCACGCGCGCGCGCAGGGGGCCATAAAAGCGGCGGCCGCGCGGAGACGCGGAGCTCGCCCACCGCCCGCCCGCGGCCAGCATGCACGTCAACGGCAAAGTGGCGCTGGTGACCGGCGCGGCGCAGGGCATCGGCAGAGCCTTCGCGGAGGCGCTGCTGCACAAGGGCGCCAAGGTAAGCGCGGCGCGCCCGGCCGCCCGGCCGCCCGGCCGCGGAGCCTCCTGCCCACCCGCCCGAGGCGCGCCCGGGGACCCGGGGACCGGGAGGCCGCGCCCCGCGTGCCCACCTGGCCGCCCCCGGAGCCCGCCGAGGCCGGGCGGCTCCCGAGCGGACCTCGAAGGCGGCCGGGAGAGCACCCGAACTTTAACTGCTGCCTGTCGGGTCCAAGGAGGGGAGCCTCTTGCGTGTTTATTGTGTTTGTCCAAGTCTGTCTGTTGGGGAGTCTCAGCCCTGACTCCTGCCCTCCTGTCTACAGGTAGCGCTGGTGGATTGGAATCTGGAAGCAGGTGTAAAGTGTAAAGCTGCCCTGGATGAACAGTTTGAGCCTCAGAAGACACTGTTCATCCAGTGCGATGTGGCTGACCAGGAACAACTGAGAGGTAAGACGAGGGGAGTCTACCCACCCCCTGCACGTCCTGAACAAGCAACAACCTGAAGGCAGCCCTGGCCAGCCGGCCAGCCTCCGGGCCTCCTGGAGAGCAGCTACCTTCAAGCTGCAAAAGATAGTTTGGACTGTTAAGTTTCCTCCTGACAGCCCGAGAGCCACAAAAACTGTGGAAAGGCAAGACTGCTTGAGAAATCCTTTTATTTTAGTCATTTGGCAGCACATAATGTAATCAAAATTCCTTTGTGTATTCAAAGACAGTGCTGCTACAGTAATTATTAAGTGATTGAAATTTCAGACGGAACTTGCAAAGTTAAAGTAGGCTAAGGGACTCAGCAAACAACTTCTCCCAGAAAGCTGGAGTCCAATGACAATGACATGTGGCAGTGTTTTCCTTTTAAACTTTTTGGAATACAAGTTGAAGGATCATCATCACTGAAGCGCTATGGTTTTTAGCACATGCTTTCTCTGGCTTTTTCCCTATGAGACGGAACTTTAATAATAATAATGATAACTGTGCAATGTTAGACTTGGAGAAGCAACATCTCAATAAGCCTTTCCTCAATGCTTTCCTGTTTCTGCCTACTCACTTAAAATAGTCCAGTCTACTTGTGAAATATCAGGGACGATATAGACATAGACAATGAACAGCTTTGATTGTATAGAGGCCCAAGAGATTTGCATGAACAAGTAATTTCAGGGAAAAAATAGAAATGTAAAATATTTGCATTTCACAAAGTTTTGTTTAAAAAGACTGAGTAAATTGTTAGGCACATTTTTAATCAAGGGGTCAAATAACTTTCCTGAAGTTCACTCTAGTGCTCCTGTTCCTAAAGGGACACTGAGGTGTAAATTTCTTTCAAAATATAAAAATAGTCTGTAAGAGAATGAAAATGGACTGGTGTGTTAGAAGGGAGCATACCTACAGTTAAGAGAAATTGTTTTAAAGAAAATTGTATAATTAAATCTGAAAATGCTAATAAAGACCTATAACATAGATTACAAGCATGAGTAGAGCCAATGTGTAAGCACAGTGCTAGCGCAACGTATTTCGCCAGAGGATAATTTTGTTGATTGCATGTGATACTTTGGATCAAGGATTGAGTCAGGTCAAATCCCAACATCCATGCTGATGGAATAAGGAAAAGCATAGATAATCTGAAAGCCATTTCTCTCTTAATTTATGTAGTTTCACATGTGACATTTAACCTCAATTGTTTTGCTTCCAGTATTTAAAATTAGTACCTTGGATGTAAACACATTCCTTAAGGATAAGTGATTGTGGAGGAGGAAACCCAGACACATAATGAGTGACCAGGGGAAGGCACATTGGTCATGAGAAATCCACATGCTGTCTGGACATCAGCATTTATTTGCATCTGAGGAAAACATGGCACTGATTCTTCCAATTTCAGGATTTAATGTTGTCTATGACTTTATACACTGTTTAGACATATTGAAATAATAAAAATACAGAGGTGAAAAGGTTCTTGGAGATGATCTAGATATAACTCATTTTCAAATGAACAAATTGCAGCCCAGAGAGTTTAGATAAATTATAAAGAGTACTACAGCACATAAATATCAGCAAGAACTAAACTGTAAATCACCTGAGCCCAGAACTCAGTGAGCTGTCAGGAAGAACATGGTGTATTATATATTGTCAAGGGCAGAGTATGCAGGAATACAGTGGAGACCAGCATGAGGAGAGAAAATAAAAGAAGCAATTGGACATATGTACTTAGCAATCTAATTTCCCATGAGGTGGGGACTGTTTCTGTGGAGTTATGAAGAATAGAACATGCTTAGAATGGAAGGGAAAAAAAAGAAAACTTAGTTTCCTGGAGGACCTTTTCTGGAAACAAGTTGAGATCTTAAGAAACAATTTAAAAATTCCATGAAAAAGTAAGCAGTTTTATGCTGTTGTTTTCTAGTATAGTGAATGTAAAGGATGCATATTAGAAAGTCTTAATAATATTTTTAATGATTAACTTGTATAGTAATTTATCCATTGGGGAACCAATTAATCCATGTCTTCCCTAATATATTTATTAGGTTGTTAATAATTCTATGAGTTTATTTCAATCAAAATAAAGTTTATGTTGATCTATGTTTTTCAAGGACCTCATATGTTGACCTAGAGATCTGAGAATACATTTCTGTCTTATGGAAAAAGAACTACAATTGTTATCTGTAATCTAAAGTAATAGAACTAGAATGAATGATCAAAGGCCCCAGGAAACATTTTAAATCAATAGAACAATGTACAAGGCTGCTTTTTAAAATGAGTCTGTCAACATTAAGGTGGTAAAACCTAGTTTAGACTGGCTAAGGAGAGTTTGCAGGGACTGGGTATGTGGTTGGACATTCAGGCCTCAAAATCCATGCAGTCTTTATCCTGGTCGAACATAGTTTTACACAAATTAGCAACACAAAGTGCTAATAATAGTGAGATGGAGGAAAAAAGAATCAAATAAAATCAACTGAATGAAAAATAGACTTTTACTTAAGATATAGAAACTCTCTGAAATGCTCATAACGGATCTGAATATACAAGAAAACTTGTGTTAATATAACACACTTTATGAACATAATATGGCTTATTACAAAAGGCTGTTTGTCATCGTCTAAGCTACAGAGCTCCAGTAACTTCATAGGGTCAAAGAGATGCTGGCTACCCAAACTGACTTCAAAGAGCTCTTAGGTTGGGATGCTCAGCACTCTAAAATTTCCCCCATAAAGTTACTGATTATACAACTTAAATGCGCATACAAATCATTTAAGTCTATATTAACATTAAGATTCTAATTCAGTAGGTCTGTAGTGTCTGCAGGATTCTGTATTTGTAACAAGCTCCAAGGTAACGCTGATTGATGCTGCTTGTCCAGAAACCACACATTGAGAAGTAAGGACTTATGTCACAATCCATCAGTGAAATTTTCCCGTGAGGGTAGATAAATAAAAATTCATGGCATGGCATAGGATGTGATTTAAATGTTTACATGGAAAATAAGAATGTATCTGTAATGTCTTTTTTTTTTTAATTAGATACTTTCAGAAAAGTTGTAGACCACTTTGGAAGATTGGACATTTTGGTCAATAATGCTGGAGTGAATAATGAGAAAAACTGGGAAAAAACTCTGCAAATTAATTTGGTAAGCTATCTTGGTCATGTTTATTGCCTAAAATCACTTAATAAGATGATGTTTATAAAGAAAAAAGTGTTCTTACATTCACAGAAACAAAACAATGACCTACAATACAGAAAAAGTATAGTTATAGAACACTAGAAAAAGCATTTCCTTTTACAAATAGGAAGGCATTTAAGTATGAAAGTATATGTCTTAAAATATTAAAAGGAAATATGAACAAAACACAATTGATTGCTTGCCTCACAGGCTGGCAAGCTGTAACCCACAGGCCTGATGGCCTACCACCTGTTTTTAAATGATTGAGAAATTCGAGAGAAGAATAATGTGAAAAGTATGAACATATGGAATTCAACTTTCAGTGACTATAAAGCTTTACTGGAACACAGTCACAGTCATTTATTTATATATTGTCAATGGCTGTTTTCATGCTACAACAGTGGAGCTCAATAGTTGTGACAGAGACTCTATGTCACACAGTGGCTAAAATATTTACAATCTGGCCCATTACAGAAAAAGCTTGTGAACCCCTGATCTATTTATTTAAAAAATAAATCATCTTAATTAAATGCCAGGAATATAATAGAAAACAAGGTTAAAGGGAAAAGGAGCTTTGCAGTCAATAGGATTTTTATCCTGAATGTCAAGGTATATGTATATATAATTTCCATGATGTCTAATGACTATTAAGCTCTTACTTAAAAAGGCAGACTTAAGAAATAAAATTTTCTGTTTTATCCAATATACCACGAGTTTGTTGATTTTATCATTCTATAAATGCTCTTGAAGTAAGATATTGGGGTTTAGTAAAACTCAAACCTTAGCTAAAGCAAAACGTCGATGGGCTGTGGTGGGGGGGCCCTGCCCTTGTGAAGGCCATTACTAGCCTTGCAAAGCAAGCGACTGTAAAGTATAATGGGGCCACTATGTATGTATAAAAGTATAGGGAGTTTTGACATGCAAAAGAAAGAGAATTAAATTCTATTTTATATTAAAGATTAAATAAATTTTAAAAAATAGATTAAAAAATAAAAAGTATAGGGAGTGGCCTCCTACTTCAAGATTTCCTCCAAGGAGATTATAAACTCCTGAAAAACAGAAACAGTGTTGTGTTTTTCTTCATTCCTCTCACTAATCAACATAATATCTTAAAGATAGTGCTTAGTCAACAATTTTTTTGGCTTAAATTCAAAATCCCATGAGAAATTACATAACTGCAATAATAACTTGGTAGAGGTAATAAAAATTATATTACCTCATGAGAGGGTTTAATCTGTAAGCCTTACCTTGATAAGGGCACAGAATTGCTCCCTAAACTTAACAGGTGCCTAAAATCCTTTAATCAACAACGGTACTATATTAGAGTATAAACACCCCTCTTTAAATTTCCTTTAAAATTTTCTTCTAAAAATTTACCTCCAATGTTCCAGGTCCATTATATTAGAAAATAACTTGAAACTGGCATTATATTTGAAACTGGCCATTATATTTAAAATAACTTGAAACTGGCAAGTTTTCCTTAAAATCTTTCTGAAGTTCTAATGTATATATAAATTAGGTAGTAATGTAGTAAAAGTAATGAAATATTTTCTGTAAATAATACTTACATCTCTTGGCTAATTCTGTATTATGGTACATGAATATTTAAGATACCATTGAATTTTCTTACTTAATATCTAATTGAATATTTGTGTCTCTGTGCTTAAAAATGATAATTAGCTTATAATTTTCTTTTCTTTTAATGTTCCTGTTTGGTTTGGATGTCAATTATACCTTAGCTTACTTTTATCTGCCTGATCTGTCAGTTTCTGAACAGAAGGTATTCATATCTCAAATGACAAATATCAGTTTGCCTACCTCTTTCAGTAATTCTATAGCTTTGGAATCTATATATTACAAACCTTTTAATATTCAGAGCATAAATTGCTAGTTATTATAATTTATTGATCTTTTGATTTGATTTTTGAAAAAGTTATACTCCTGCTTGTGTTTGACCTATTATGTATTTCCATATATAAAATTGGTACCCCATCATTTTCTTTTGATTCACATTTACCCAGGTACATCTTTTTCCATTTACATATTTTAAAAATGTATGTGACTTTTATGTTAAATTTGTCTCTTCATGATGGTATATTGTGAGAATTTATTTTTAAAATCATTATCTGGGAACATCTGCCTTTTTTATATTTGTGAAATTAAGCCATTTATATTTATTTTTACTCTTCTATTTTATACTTTAATATTTGATGGGTTTTTTTTTGTTTTGATTCCATTCCTTACCTAATTGCATTGGAAAGTTTTAATTTTCTTCTAGTAAGAAAACCATACATTTTATATTTAATCTTTGGTGATTACCTCTGACTTATTAAGAACCAGACTTCATTACGTCCTTTGGTCATCTGATAGCACAGAAATTTTGAACATATAGCCAACTGACAGCTGTAGGAATTTTTAAGAATACATTTTTATATGTTCTAAGCTACAATTAAAAAAGAAAAGAAAGGAAAAAAAAGAATATGTTTTTGTAGACATATGCCACTTTCCAAAACCACATAAAGTGATGAGAATTTATTTGATCAGGCTATCCCAATGAACAGGCACAAATTGCATAGCAGCCTTCTGCCTTTGGCATTGCTACTGATATTTTAATTGTTTCATTAACAATATCTACAGATATTTTTATAAATAAAGGTTACTAGGATATAATTTCTATATTCAGTGCATTCACAATGGACACTTACTGTATCTTTTCTTTTAGAAATTAGCTGTTAGAAACAGTATGCAATGATTAGAATGAATATAAAGAAACAAGAAAGTAGTGAAGCAGTTATTACAAAGGTACAGGATTCAAATTATCTGTCTTCATCCAGCTGAGAGAGCACATTTGCTTTAGTGTAGCCTGTGTGAATAAATACCTGCTCCAAGCTGGAAAGCACCTACATCATATGCCAATAGGAAATTCTGGAAGACCAGGGGAATTTTACTGTGACCCCTTTGGTTACTACTAGCTCTCCTGGATCCTTCTGCATTGAAATTTAGCCAGTCTTTTTCTTTTTTTTCCCCTTGGGACTCTCCTGATATATGCTACTTCTTAGGTTAACTTCAGGGATTAATGACATTTGTTTAATTTTTTATGGAACAATGCATAACCTTTGTTACTTATCTACAACTTTAAAGTGTGTTCCCTCCTACCTATACCCATTGCAAGGGTAGATTAGAGTCTGACGAATCATTGTCCCTTCCAACTGGATGATCTCTGTTAGTACAGTGCAAATATTTGTGGTAGTCTCTATAACCTTTTTTTTTAAGACTGTGCTCTCATTGTAAGTTGCCTTGGATTTACACAATTACATGTTTGTTCTTTTATATGTTTCTCCATTTTACCATCCAGGTAAGAGAGTAACCACTTAGTTAGAGGACTTCACCACATATCTATCCCTCTTCTGAAATCTTATCTAACATATCTATGCCATTCTCAAAGAGCTTACCAGTTTTTCAATTTTGTTAGAATTGTTTATTTGTGCTAGTAAACTATACATTCTTTTAAGGCAAAAATATTGTGTTCTTACAGAGTAGATGTTGACTGATATTTATTGGATAAACAGCCAATACATGATTTTTGCACATTTCTGTGTTTTAGTACAATATTTAGATGATTTCTAATACATCCATGCTGCTAAACAGTATCATCCTTATCAGAATAAGGAAGGGGTAAGTTGGGTAACTTACCTTCCGCTTTCCTCCTTAGCAGACTCACCCCTTCCTTATTCTTCACTCTGCTGAGCTCATCATTCTTCCCACACAGGAGATGCACTAAACCTCTTACCGGCCTTTGGTTTCCATTAGGCTCTTCCACGCTTCCTCCTTAGTCTGAAGCCAACAGCGGCAGCGTTATTTATGTATGCTCAGAGGTCACAAGGAATGTTCAGGAAAGAATGAGTCTTTGAAAAACTATCAAAGGTCACTCTATAAATTGGGCAGAGGTTGACTTGACTTTGAATATTATTCCAAGTGAAGTCCACCTTAACTTTGGGTAATTCTGCAACACACTTCTTTTCCTTTAAGTTTTTGAAGCTTTAATAAACCTAAATAATTCCTCCCCACTGAGGTGGGACTCATAATCTAATTTGGACATATAACTGACATGTACTGAATCCCATAGTATATTCAAATAAAAATTAAACAAAATAGATGTCTATTGCTGGTGATTTTCTTTCAGAAATATATTTGTTGCCTAAAGATTTGCACTGGAAGAGGTATATGCATTTTTAATTAGTCCAAATTAGAATTTAGTCTTAAATCTATAGTTTATGAACTGTTTTTAATTTCCCTGATATTGAATTTCACAGTTTGTGAAAGAGAGAAGGTAAACTCCCTACCTCTAAGGACTGTTAAGCTTAAATAAACCATAGTTTATATGAAGCATTTGGCATATTGCTACTGAATAGCATTCATTCAATAAACTGCTTTTCCTTTCCAGAGTATCAAAACCTACATTTTCTCACTATCTTATTTTTATATGCGGTGAGTTCCTCTGCTTTCCTCTATCTCTAAAGAAGCTGAGGAAATGGACTTAGATATTGTTCTCAAGTGTGCTCCCTTTTCTTGGCTCCCAAGGATGTTGATTACAAACTAAATTAGAAACTATTTGCTGCCATTGCTACTCTATAATACTGAAAATCCAGTTGAAGTACGCATAGTTCGGCAGAGTTTGCTTAATTGTAAGTAGTTCCAGCAAGAGGGAAAACAATAATATTTATCCCTAAAACAAGCAGAAATCCTTGTATCCTGATACTACGGATCAGCAGAAAATGGAAACATTTTGAACATGATGAAAAAATAAAGGATGACAAGGGATTTTTAAAAAAATGGTCAGCAATATTAGTATTTTTTGAGAACTGGGCTGGAGAAAATACAAAGAACTTGTAAAGCAAGGTGACATGATTTATATACCAGAACTTAAAAAAAAATTACAGTGGAATACCAAAACCATAAATAAACTAAGGAACCCCAGCATGGAGGAAGATGAGATAGAGGAAATGGAAAAATGACAGATTGGGAATTTCAGTAGTGAAAAGGTGTGTGTGTGTGTGTGTGTGTGTGTGTGTGTGTTACAGGACGACATGATTCCTGATAAGAAAAGAATGAAACAAGTAGGCTATTACCATTTGTCCATTTGTTTTAATTACAAGAGAATTTTTCCCAATGGAGGGGAATTTTTGACAGTTTTTTAAAGTTATTGAATGCTTTAGTAAAAACAATTAAGATTTAGAATACAAACCAATTACAATTTTAGTATTAAATATAAAAGTCATCTCTTTATAACCAAAAATATGGAAGTAAGCATGTTAATTAGATCATTTTACCAATAATTGAATTTTTTAGTTCCCTTTGTGAAATTAGACATAGAATAAATGAATATGTATATGATCTAGAATATGGATGAGATTGTTATAGTGAAGTAGAAGAGGTGAAAAATATCACTTCTGCACCAAAGCAAAGGCCTTGTCTGGTGTATTGAGTCTATGAACCCTTTCATGTGAAAAACTACTCAGTTCTTAACCTAATAATAATCCCTTGCCCTCCTCCACCAAAGACCTAGAAATAAATCTTGCTTTTTAAAAAAAATTAAAAATAAAGCTTAAACATTCCCAAGTTTTCTATGTAGCTACACCTTATAGATGTTGCAAACACAAAAACTGAGCGTCAGCAAAGCTGTAAATACCTGAGAATAAAAGCATAGCGCCAATACGCGTACACAGAAATTCTGTTCAGACATGCTGGAGACTTGGGCAGAAACTAACAGAATCTAATTGACTTCAGTAATTTCAGCCATCTACATTTTTTCCTTCTTATATAAACAATTAATGTTTTGTTTTTCGTTTTTAAGGGGGATCATGGGAGATTTTATTCATTCTCCCTAAGCCTACTTAATATCAAACTGACACATGGCTTAAGTGAATACAATCCTCAATTTACTTTTCTCTTCTAGAACTACTATTAGGTAGGAGAAGCATCTCTGAATGCTTGTCAAGAAAATTCCAGAAGGACTTTTTAAAATAAAACAAAGGTAAACACCAGTGTGTGCCCTCAGTTTCAGACCCATTATTTATTGTATCATTTTCTGTGCAGCATTGTAAAGCATGAAAAAAGTAGGAATTAAGATGTCAAAAGGGAATTTTCACTTTTTATAAGTCTGAGCTGGAAAGGAGGAGTTCTTAAATCTAAAAGGAAAAAGTAAAGCTTCAAATACCAATTTCATCTCACAGGTTGTTTTGGGTTGTGGTGAATTCTTAAATGTTACAGTAAAAACAGGAAAAGGGCCTATACATGGAGGTAAGTAGCAAAAGAGTAAATTCTGGAAAAGATAGCTGTAAGCAGGGACGAATAAAATTAAGTGATAGACCATCTGCTCAAGTGAAAATCCCCAAACTGCATAAAACAGTTACACGATTTCACACAACACAGAGCTCAGGATCACCTGATACTACAGATCAGTGACACCATCAGGGCTCAAGGTCTCTTCATCTCTCCCACCTGCGTCCTTCACGCTGGCTTCACCTTCCGGACACTGGCAAACATGAGTTGTCCGTTCCAGTCATGGCGCCCGTACGCAGCAATGAAAAGGGGGAAATGTAACCATTCTTTCATAGCCTTCTTAAGAGCAAGTAAAAGTTTCTCGGCAGCATCCCATCCCCCACCTCTGGCTCATTGCCCCTCAAGTCTCACTGACCACAACTAGGTCACATGCTGGCACCTAAACCAGCCACTGTCAAAGAGGATGAGATTTCCGTGACAGAATTAGATCATCAGTGTCTAGTCTTCACCATCTTCTTCTGTATTACACAGAGAAATGGTAGATACAGAGCAAAATAGAATTTTTATTAGGAAGAAAAAAGGAGAAAACTGTAGGAAATCAGGATATCCACCATTCTATATTCCAAAGTCTAAGAGAATTAAACGGAGCAGGTGACTGTGAAATACTTGGACATGAGAACTACATGCTAAGAACCACATGCTAAGAGGAAGGTCAAATAAATTTTGTATCCAATATTTAGAAAACAAAAAGCGCATAAGATGCTGAGAATTGAGTTAAAATGTCAAAACACTATTGGAATACAACCTATATTGTAAAATCTCATATTGGACAACTAAGCAAAGCGAAGTGAAGTGTTGCAGAGATACGGTAAGCTCCACAACTGTTAGGCAAACAAAAGAGACTCCAGGGTCAGTGACCAGCTTTTAAAAAAAAGAAAAAGCCCTTTGAAAACTTTCATTGATAATATTTGCAGAAATCTCCCTATGTGTCTGGAATAATAAAAAAAACTTTGGTATGTGAAGGGTAATGGCTATGTTGCTTTTCTCATTTATGCCTCCTGATTAGGTTTCTGTTATCAGTGGAACCTATCTTGGTTTGGATTACATGAGCAAGCAAAATGGAGGTGAAGGCGGCATCATTATCAATATGTCATCGTTAGCAGGTAAGGGCAATTATTGTGTTAATGGTCACATTTTCTTATTGGTAATTTGGACCACAAAAATAAATCTTCAAAGTATATTTATTATCAACTCAGGTTTGAAATTGAAACTTTGATTTTTTTTAATACTTCTCTGGAATTTGCACAATATCAAAAGTTTGAACTGTATGTTTATTTCTATTATTTTAAATTAAATATTTTTAAGTTATCTTACTGCAGTACCATTTCTTTAAAAATTTATATTTTCCCAAAGTTACTGATTTTTTAGAGGTGGTTATGAAACTCCTAGGCAATCACGCATGTGAAAGCATCTTTGACAAAGTAAAAAGTACTAAAGTGAAGTGAAGATATCTCTACTCCCATATGATTTTAGTAAGAGTGTATAATTTTAACATATGGCATATATAGTAGTTGGGGTATGCTAAACTACTCAATAAGCCCAAACATGCCATGGCTTGCATATAGCATAAGCTTGTTCCTCACTCGTGTTACCAACCCCGGGCAGGGGCCTTGTTGCAGGCCCCTCTCCTATATGCAGTCATTTGGAAAACCTGGCTGGCAGCAGGTCTGCCACCTTCAACATGGAGTTTCCAAGGTTACTCTGGAAGTGGACTCCTTTCTAGCAGGAAGAGAAAAAGAACATGGAGGGGGCCTGCCTGCTCGTTTAAAACTCCCAGCCCAGGAATGGCAGACCTCACTTCTGTTGACAATCCAGTAGAGAACTTGCTCTGTTGCTTCACCTAACCACAAGAAAATCAGGAAATTTAGTCTAGCTTTGTGCCTAAGGGAAGAATGGATTTCAGTGGATAGCTAATCATCTTCGTCACACCTTGCAATCCTAAACTACTTTTTATTCAGAACGGTTTGATTTCATATCAGCTGATATCTCATTCCTCAATAAGTAGTTTTAAACCTCTGAAAGATATTTTTAGAGCAATTTAGTCAAGTGACTTCTTAAAACTCTAAGAAGAAACCATCAATGGTTCTTAAATAGTTCTAGTGAAATTATGAAGTTTAATAGGAAGCCATCTGATCAAACAAGTCTTAACTATCCATGTCAAAAAATAGTGAGACTTTCTTAAATTACCTGGTTGGTTTCTGTTAGTGTGGTGATTCCAGAATAGGAATTCACCCCTTACCCCATCTTCTTTCTACCTCCTAGCTCCATATTTGGGGAGTCAGGTTTGAGGTACCTGTGACTGAACCAGTGGTCTGATTCTCAGCATTTTTCTTATTCCTCTAGGAATTATTGTCACATTGTCCTTAAACCACTATAATGCTGCCCAGTGGAGATTAGAATTCTCTGCCAGTGGAGATTTAGAAATCTTCTTTAGACGTTTTCAAAAATAGACTAGCATCTCATTTTCCAGGTTGTTTAAAGTCAAAATGGCATCCCTAAAGCTATTACAAACCTAATTCTATAAATTGTTCAGGGTGATCTGGTTGTTTTTCCTAATATAACATCTACCTATAAATTAGAACACTTCAATTGTGAGGATACAGTGAAAAATGAGAGCACGGGCTGTGCTTGAAGGGGATGTGCACTCCAAAGATGGCCAGATTTTAGGTTCTGAGAGGCTGAAACCCTAAAGGCAAATTGGCGAAGTTAAATATAATAAAATCATTTGAAAAAAATATGTAAATGAATGAGGAATGAACCAGAAACATTTAATATTTACTGAAAAGTTTAAATATTAAAAAAAAAACCTGGGCTGTGATCATGAGATAATTCTGTGGATTCTCTCTTTAAAGCTAAGAGGGTCAACAAAGCTTGGGGAACAGGGAATGCTACCCAGGGAGCCCTTGGCCTGTGTATCCCTGGGGTTGCTGATTTCAGCTTTGGAAGGCTGGACAGCCTCAGGGTTGGATCAATTTAGGGCTCTGGGAGAGATTCTGTACCATAAGGTGGGGGGGCTTGCTTGCCCCAAGGAGAACAATTAAAGAAATGCAATGTAGCGCTACTGTCTTTTATCCAATTAAAATATTTAAATACATAATAACAGCATGTATTGAGCACCTACTGTTTGCCTGATACAATTTTAAGCACGGTGTATGCATTATCTCATTTAATCCTCACAACAACCCGTGTGAGGTCGATTCTGTAATATCCATTTTGAAGAAGAGGAAACAGGCAGGAGAGCAGAAGTATTTTGCCCGAGCTTTTACACACCCTGTGAGCAGCAGAGCTGGCATACACATGCAAATGCCGGGTACAAGTCTCCTTAAGCTTTGCCACGAGATTATCTACCTTTTCTATCTATGAGTGTCTGTAAATCTCTGTCTCTATCCGTGTTTACCTCGGCCTAACAGGGAAGTAAAAGAATCTGAACTCCTATGACTTGAATAAACGTTGCAGTTTGCTGTTCTCTTCAGTCCTCATGGACACCACTCTAATCTCATGGCTACAGTATTAAACCTTCAGTGAAATCGTGAGCTTTTGCCCCCATTTGACCCTTATCGTAAAGTCCTGAAAATATCTGGAGGGCTTACCAGAGTCACATATCAAGGCAGGCCACTGAGAAGAGTGATTTAAGGCTTATAATTTAATGTCCACTTCACTTTCTTGACTAAGACCTTTGTCATGCTACTCGCCCCTGGGTATTAATTCTCTTCTTACCTATGTCAGATATGGCATTTGGAATCATGTGTGGGTTGTCCTGTCTTCATGCAGATAAAACAATGAATTGATATCCATTCAGTGATAAGATTGTTTTGGTTTTAAATTACTTTTCAGGCACTGTTACAGTGTCATAAGTATCACAGCATTCCAACACTGATTCTCCCTCTGATTTTCCTCCCAGTAAACAAGGCAGCCCCATTTTAAATGGTTAAGTAGCTTAAGTATGTCTTTGTCCACTCTGCTTGGTTTGTCTCCTTCTCTATTTTCGGAGGTTGTTCTTGGGACCCTGACTTCATAATGCCAGGCTCACACCTGGTACGTTTATACTGCTTCCTTGTTGCCACTGACCAATATGGAGGTCCCTGCTACCTCCCTGCCCACCCAGGGCTCTCATTAATATGCCTTCATCTCACAAAAAGTCTTAAAATGAATTGCCTCGTATTTTATCCACTGACCAAGAGCTTCCATTCTTCCCATAAAATTAGTTTGATAAAAAATTCAGGCTATTGTATAAATGTTGGCATGGATGCGGACAGAGAGGAACACTCCTACACTGCTGGTGGGACTGCAAACTAGTTCAACCTCTGTGGAAAGCAATATGGAGATACCTTAGAGCGATACAAGTAGATCTACCATTTGATCCTGCAATTCCACTACTGGGCATCTACCCAAAAGATCAAAAGTCACTTTATGAAAAAGACACCTGCACTCGAGTGTTTATAGCAGCACAATTCACCATTGCAAAGTTGTGGAAACAACCCAAGTGCCCATCAATTCATGAGTGGATTAATAAAATGTGGTATATGTACACCACGGAGTACTACTCAGCTTTAAGAAACAATGGTGATATAGCACCTCTTGTATATTCCTGGATACAGCTGGAACCCATTCTACTAAGTGAAGTATCTCAAGAATGGAAAAACAAGCACCACATGTACTCACCAGCAAATTGGTATTAACAGATCAACACCTCAGTGGACATATAGGAATAACATTTATCAGGTGTCAGGCAGGTGGGATGGGGAGGAGAGGATGGGTATATATATACAAACACAATGAGTGAGATGTGCAACATTTGGGGGATGGTCACACTTGAGGCTCTGACTCGAGGGGGAGGGGGGCATGGACAATATATGTAACCTTAACACTTGTACCCCCATAATACGCTAATATAAAAAAATAAATAAAAATTCAGTAGTAATGGTAGTAATGTAGTAATGGTACATGGTAAAAGAGGACCCCTCAGTCAAAAATTGTAAGCCTTTGAGTCATAGCATGTAGGAAAAGGTCAGAGGACCTAAAAAATCTTTGAAGATTTATCAAAGTCTAAGCATGTGTGATGTTTGCTTCCTCTGTGTTTTCCAAACCTTCCTTCCTCACAGACTTTTTCCCCCTATTTTTCCCCATACTGCTCACTCTATTGAAGGAATAGCTTGTGAGTAATATTCAAATATTAATATTCAACTCAACCAGGGCCCATCCTCATGATCTCTTGCATGGATTAAGTGGAGTCCTTCACTGTCATAGCAAAAGCTCAAGTTGGCACACTGGTTTGGGCAGAGAAGTTAATGAACAGTGACCACTGATGCAGACAGAGTATCAGATGCAATTAATAGGTTTAACAAACAGAGAAGCAAAGTGGAGAATGATTCCCCTGAAGATTGAGAGGTGGGCGTGCTCCAGTCTGGAGCTCTAGAAGTTGTTCTGATCATTTTTAAACACATGGACTCATCTATACAAGTTTTTGTTTATAAACATAATATACAAACATGGACTCATTTCATCACATCCATCCTTAACTATTAAAAAAACAGTTGGAGAGGAACAACAGAAGAATGAAGTCTGGTGTAAGGCAGATAATTAAACAGCTGTGCTCTCATAAGACATCCCCTAAGAGACAGATGCACTTCTTACATATTTAGTGGCTTCAAACTGTGGGAAAGGAAAAGCAATTGTCATGGGAAAAGGAATCTGCCTACTGATCCTGGTCCCGGGTCTTAGTATTCACTCAGGATTTTCTGTGGCTTAGAAGCAAGTCTCATTTTGTTTTTTGGGTTTTTTTTTGTTTTTTTGGTTTTTTTTTATTGTGTCTGACCTTTCAGTGTAAGCATCTTGTGAAAGATACCATGAGAGTCTTATTTACTCAGAATGGAACATTAGAGTCTCAAGAAAAGACTTGAAAATCATAGAATACTTTTAGCATGTCTTAAATCAGCCTAATGTCATATCTACTTGTGCTGTCAGTTTTATATAAAGTAATATTATTAGCTTGTAGTTTGTTAAGGTAGAAGTGCTAAAATTACCATTTTAAATAACAAATTCAAGTTAAACATATGTTGAGCACTTGCAGAAATAAACGGGAGATATAAAAATAACTGGGCAC